TCCCCCACACACTCAAGTGGTTTAGTGAGGGTACTTTTACTATCCACAACTCATACGGTGTTTTTGGCACCGACTTACTTGGTACTTTATTGAGAATATGAATGGCGGTTTTTAACGCCTCCATCCACAGGCTCAACTGTAAGGTGGAATAACTTATCATACTGTGCACCATATCTATCAGGGTACAATTTTGTCTTTCAGCTATTCCATTATGCTGAGGTTCACCTGGTATAGAATACTGGGCTACTATGCCATTCTCCTGTAAGAACCTTATAAAAGGTCCAGAAACTTGGCCATATGGGGTATGCCGACCGTAGTACTCCCCCATAGTCGGACCTGACTATCTTAATCTTTAAATTGTGTTGATTTTCAATTTTTTCCTTAAATATCTTAAATTTATCCAATGCTTCTTTTCTTTCTTTGATTGGATAAATGTAGCCATAATGGGAGTAATCATCTGTTAATGTTATGAACGAAACATAACCATCCACACTCTTTACAGGAAACTGACCACAGATGTCTGTGTGAATAATCTGTTAAATTCCTACGCTTCGTTTGGCATCGTTCTTAATTTTCTTTACATACTTTCCTTTTATACATTCTGAGAGCTCTAATGGAGGAAGAATATTATTCTTAACTAGTCTTTCTATTCTCCCCCTCGAAATGTGGCCTAAACGATAGTGCCATAATTTCGACGACGCATTGTGAGCTCTCTTATGCCACCATTATCAGAGTAACGCTCTGTCACCAGCTACTTTATCAGCTGGGTAGCAAATGTCTTTGAAGAGCCAATGAACTGACTCTTTATTCTATCGAGATACTCGTTGATCGTGTCATACTTTGGGATTGAGTCCACAATTGCAGACTCAATCATGTTCTTTATCACAACCAAACATTTCTTGTTGGCAGTGACCCACTTCCTATGCACAAGGGCATATGACATCTTTCGGGATTTCAAAATCCATCTCTTTAGTTGCCCAAACGGCATCATCCTCGTTTGTCTCCCTCACCGGTGCCACAGGCTCTGTGGAACACGGCGAGGTGACTACTCAATCCACCTTAGACAAGATGAAAACCAGGTCAAAACTTTTCTTAACATAAAAATAACACCATTTGTATGCCTTGATTCCAACGTTGGTCAAAATCAAAACATACAACTGTTCGTATACACTAATTCTACATCACCGTTGGGCAGAAATAGAATTAATGTATAAAATCATTAAAATTCACAATTGTTCTTACACACTAATTCTACATCACCGTTGGACAGAAATAGAATTAATGCATAAATCATTAAAATTACGATATTGTTATTAACAATATTGGTCAGAAAATAACAACATCATAATCATGTCAAAGTATCTTTTTCTCCAATTACATACCACATTGGTTCAAAATAACTGGAGAATAAATAATTTCTTTAGCAGCGGAAAAAACTCTCTTTTTCTCTAATTTTAACTACAGGGAAAAATTACTTTTTCTATTTACTTTAAGCCATTAATCAATTTCCAGGAAATAAACATTTACTAGAAAAAAGAAAAATAAGAATTGTCACTGTTCTTTCGGCCCAGCCAGCAAAGCAGCCCGGCCCGGCTCCCTTGCGCGACGCCCGGCCGCACCTAGGGCGCAACCTGGGCCTGGGCCGACAAAGTCGCTCGGCCGCCAGCGCCCGCCTGGGCCGCATCGTTGACCCGGTCGCGCTCCGCCGTCGGATCGCATCCGACGGTCGCCCGCAGGCTTCGCGGGGTCAAAAACCCACTCGCCAGCGTCGGCTGGAAAACCCTAGCCCCATTCGCTTCCGCCTGCTTCTCTCTCTTCGCTTTCTCTTTCGTCGCTCTCCTTTCCTCTCAGTGCAGCCACAGCGACCGAGCGGGCGAAAACGGTGGAGGGGCAGAGCCATGGCGCCGTCGCCGGCCCCCACGCCGGCGTGCGCGCTCCCCAGTGGGTGAGCGTGCCGCCGTCGAGTGGCCTGGCCGCAGCGCCCCTTTGGCCAGAGCCCGGCGAGCAGCGCTTCGGCTCGGCCTTCTTCTCCTGCGCCAGCGAAAGGTCAGCCCTGCGCACGGCGAGGTAGGTCTCCTTTTCCCCTTCTCTGATTTGGTTTTCTTCTCTTTTTCCGAACTGGTGTGGGGAATTAGGGTTTGGATCTAGGGTTCCTTTTCTTCTTCCCCTTCGGATTTGAGTTGTTCTTCTCTTTTCCGAACTGGTGTGGGGAATTAGGGTTTGGATCTAGGGTTCCTTTTCTTCTTCCCCTTCGGATTTGAGTTGTTCTTCTCTTTTCCGAACTGGTGTGGGGAATTAGGATTTGTTCTATTCGTTTCAACTCATTCATTTGATTCTTTTCTTTTCTATTTGTACCAAATCACTCTTTTCCCCTTCCTTGTCGCGAGTTAGGGTTAGGGTTCTTTTGAACCGATTCGGTTTTGTCTCGGTTTTGATTCAAGATCTTCGAGATCGACCCCTTCCCCTCTTGCCTTTCTTCTCTTTAGACCTTCTTTCTTTTCTTTTTGGAGTTCATCCGAATCGGGATCTAGGGTTAGGGTTCGGGTTCCGACCCCTGTTCTTCTTCTTTCTTTGGATTTCCTTTCTTTTCTTTGATTTCTTTTCTTTTCCCACGGTCTGTTCTTGGGTTAGGGTTCGGCTTGAAGTGTCGAGAGCCCTATCTCTTCTCTGATCCGAATGGATGTTCTTCTCTTGTTTTCTTGCCGCGCGTCGGCGAAAACGTCAGTGCATCATCTTTCCCCACTTGCACGGTGGCGGTGGTGACTGGCAATCAGTGACGTCCGCCACCCCCGGTCTCTTTTTAGTTTCTTTTACCCGGTTAGGGTTAGAGTTTCAATCCGAAATGGATTTAACCCATGTTCTTTCTTTTCTATGCTCTACCCGATACCGTCCTTAGCTCTGGTACCATTGTTAGGATCACAGTGGACCTCTAGACCATAGATTGGGGTAGAGCTTCTACTAGATGAGGAAAAACAATTGGTGTACCTTCGTATGGGTCACCCTTTTGGTACATGGCCACCGGTGTCGTGGCAGCTCTGGCGTAGACGCCGGTACTACGACATTGTAGGCGTCGTGGTGGCGATGCCGTGGATGTTCAGTGGCGATGGTGGTGACCCTGCAGGGGCGACGGCGGTGCGGTGGGACATCCCATCGCTGGCAGCACTGCTTTAGATCGGTTTAGGTTTACTCTGTCGGTGGGTACGGCGGCTCCGTTGAACCTCATAGCCCAAGCCCTGATCCCCACCTTACCTTTTATATGTGCTGTGCGATAGGGACCCACCAACCGTATTAGGGTTGGGCGCCCCCGATCAGGGCGCAGATCAAGGGCCCAATGGACCTATTGGTAGAGATCAACCAACAGTTCCTACACATATATGTTTGTATAAAAGATGAGCTTCTGTTTTTGTGTGTGTGTAGAAAATGAGTATTGTTATAATCTATCTCTGGTACGATTAATTTAATTTTTTTTTAGTTTTGGTCACATTTATCTCATCCCACTTCCACACAAAAAAGAAACAAATGACCACTGAATTATTTAAACAATAATACAAATTTATGATCAATAATGGTCATGTTCTGGTTCTATGAAAGATCGTTAAAGGAACTAAAGCTGAATTTTCTTGGTAGGGCGCCTTGAAGCGCGCTTCCTTTTCTAGTATCCATGAATAGTCAAAGAGCCTCCGAGTGTCTCTAGTACCTCGTGTGCGCCGAGAGCAATGTGGTCCACGTGTGGTCCACGTCATTGGCGTTCTAGGGGGAGCGCCCCCAGCGTGATTTCACCGTTAATCTGCGCATTTGTTCTAAATCTCGCGGCCCCTCCCGAGGTGTTCATCTTGGCTCCGCTAATGCCAGCCACTACCATGCGCGCAAACGCGGCCGTACCCTGTCGGGGACCCGATGGAGTACGCGGAGACGAGCGTCGAACATGTGGCGGGCCTCGGCTACGCGACTAAGCTTGGTGTAGGCAGCGATGACCTGGCCAGGGACGTCCGGGTGGGCGTGGAGACTAGGTGGAGCGTGTGGGCATGTATGGCGGAGGCGAGGCGAGCGGCAGCGAGTAGGAGTTGGGCAGCAGCGGCGTGGCGGTCGCGGCGTGGCTGACACGCGTGCACGTCGGCGGCGTGGCTGGCCTGGCCGTCCCATGGCTGGCCCCGCGCGGGCGGCCGGCTGCTCACTTGAGCGACATCGGCGTGGCTGGCCCTGCCCACCCGACGTGACTGTCAGCACCCACACACGTCCTCGATAGGTTTTTTTAAGAGAGGTTTTAAAAGAAAGGGCCTCAATAAATAATTACGAAGCTCCTGAACCGTTTACATGATATCTCCATAAGTGAATAGACATGTGCATTTTGCTTCTAAACAATTTAATTTTTCCCCATCAAGTTAAGTTCAGATGAGGTGTTTGTTTAAATTAGCATGCATATGATTTTACTACTTTTAGAACAAGAACTCGTATAGTAAGAGTTTTGTGGATTTTGTTTGAGCAGTTCTTGCTGCTACAATGTATAATTATCGGAGCATCTAAGCTTCAAAGCATCAGCCTGTTCTCCTTGTCTAGTCTCAACTTGTTTTAGATTATTCTCTCTCACAGAACACTATTAAATCAGCCAAATATTGATCAGCCGAACACCCCCTTAATCTCAAATCTCATCATTGTTCATGACATGAAAGGACTTCAAAGTTATATGATGTGTATTTTACTTTCGATTAGAGTCCTTCCAATTGCCATAATGGAAATTTCTATCAGAACTTTAGATTACCACTTTTTTTTTATACTGGATTACCAGTTTTATTTTTGCCAGGGGGAAAACTGGTTCTGTCGTACAAAGAATCACAAAGTTCCATAAGAACTAAAAGAAAATGTAAAACCCAACGCAACATTGCCCAATCTTTGATCGCTTACTGAAGTTCATCTACGTTGACAGCAATTTCAACTCCAGTGTAGATACATACCTCTGGTCTTAGATTAGACATGACATGCATGATCCCTGTCTTTCTTTATCACGAAAAGCGTATGCTGAAACCCTTGTCAGTTTTGGTGACATCCATACTACCGAACTCATCAAAGTCTGAATCCGAGACGCCATCCCTGTAATTACCCCATTCTTCCATTGAGCTGTCATCATCCTCATCCTTTGATGCCGGGACTTGTAATCCTTCTATAGGTGCCGGCAAGGGCTCTTCCGTAAAGTACCGATGATTCAACAGGTCAGCAGCACTGACCCTCTTTGTTGCGTTATAGCAAATTAGCTGGTTTATGATGCTAACCTCAGTAGGAGATCTGTTAGGCAGACATGCTTCAAGGCCTGTCGGTTTCCCAACCTTGTTAAAGAAAATCTTGTTGTAATCTGGCAAGTTTGAACAGCCTGGAAAGGTTTCTTCTGTTATATCACCCAGGACATTGATGATTCTACTAATCTGATCAATATCAGATATCCCTGAGAACAAAGGCTCTAATTTCAGAAGTTCTGCCAAAATGCATCCAAGCGACCAGAGATCAATCTCTAGCCCATAGTTTGTTGACCCATATAAAAGCTCAGGAGCCCGGAACCACCTAGTACCAACACAAGAAGTGAAGGCACCAGAATCTTCACCTATACCTTCCACATTGTATGAGTAGGAGGTTCGGAATGGATCATCTTCAATGTCTCCTGTACTGAACGTGGCAAGACAGGATGCATCTCCATCCTGCAAGCTCATTTTGTCAACATCACTGGATTTTGCCCGGAGCTGGTCCAGTTCATGCAGGTAGTCAGCTGCAGTTAGGGTCTCTGGCTCCTGACCAGCAGTAGCATCTGATTCATAAGATGTTGGTTCCTCTTCTGTCCCTTGTAGCACTGCTGGTTGTTGTTGTGGAATCCATGTTTCCATGCTTGAACTTTGCTCATGTGGGTGCATTTCTTGAAAAGTAGGTGCTGTCTGCTGAAGTATCCTAGCCTGAGTATGTGTCAGCAAAAGCAAACTTGGTCAAACTCCAACCAATTGAAACAGAGGTCACAAAGTTATCATGGATTCTCAGAAAACAGGAAGTACACTTTTAGGACACAAGTTTAACTTTATTGCTTCAGGTACTTCTTGATTAGACTGGTACAAAGAATTAACCAGCAATAATGCCTTATATTATCACTGGTTAATTCTTCTTAACTGTTAGATGTCCCCTCTGTGATGAAGGCGAAGGAACAGTTCAGCATTTACTGAATCTCGTGTGCATTTGCAAGGCAATTCTGGTTCTTGCTGCTACAAAAGGTTGACCTTCACGATCTATCGCCACAGCTTGGAGATACTTCCTTTGATGATTGGTTGGCAAGGATAAATGATACAGTTAATGGTCAAACCCAAAAAGGGCGTAATTCCCTTGTCATCTCAGGACCAGGTAGATCTGGAAAAATCGGAATTGATGTGTTTTTATGGTATTTCTCCTAATCTTGCTGGAGCACTTGTCTTTGCTAGTGAGGATTTGCATCTATGGGGTATGGATGTGGCTCAAGGTATCTCCTACCTGCTTGCCCTTGCACCGGAGGAAGGGTATGAATAGGTCAAAGTCATTAATTTAGTAGCCAAGGGCGCAAATGGAATCTTAGAATTTTCTGTGTGCGGGTGTGTCTTGTAAGGGATCTTACCACCTTTTCTTCTTTAATACGACGAAATGCAGCTCTCTTGGGAGTTCAAGGAAAAAGAAAAGATAATGCCTTATATTTAAGTAGTGAAACAAAACCTGTTACATGATTTGTTATAAAAGAGAACCTGTTTCATAAACAAGCATGAAGCTCAGCAACCAAAATCTTAGAATCTCCACCACTATAGCCATGCTCGTTGACACTTGAAGACTATTACTTACTTCAATGTGGAACCAAAAAACTGAATAAAGTTTGACGTTTTGTGAAATAGATTTAATCTTTGTGAACAATTTTTTTATTTTATACAAATCTTGGATCAAATTGCCTTTGGTGAGCAAAGCTACATTGTTGTTACAGTACGTGTGTAGCACAAAAGACACTGTGAGTTGGCTTGGGCTCTAGAATTTTTTTGCTTTGGACTTTGAATCATGCAAGAAAATCAAAAAAAGTTGAGTTGGGCCCATGGGTTAGCAAAATTTAGTGTCATGCAAGATAGGACGAAGTTAGAAAATTCACATTGGGAAGCAAGGGATGGCAAGTATTTGCAAACACATATTTTGGTAAAACAGTTGTCAATTATTCGAAAACAGAGGAAGTAATAAATCCAGACAAAAGCTGCAGAATCCAATATCTCTAATTACCCATTTTGTTACTCCATACACATCATTGCACGTCGGTCACAGTATAGATGTAATCAACCAATTATCATTCCGTTACTTATATATGAAAGCAAATGAGATTGCGTGGAATAGTAGATTGACTGATTGAGAGGTATTGTACATATATATAGGGGGAGGAGATCTTGAGGTTTATAGAAATAGCACCAATCAAGATCTCCTGAAATCTCTCTACCAAATCAATCAAGGGCCGGCCGGCTACAACAGCCTAGCGCTGGACCCACACGCACACATAACATATTACTTTCTAACAATATACATGTGCACACAATACATGAAGCCTCCTCAGATTGCTAGATACTTAAGCTTGAGATTGATTAACCAAATATAAATAATAAGGATATCTAACTTCAACCTAGGAACTATTATTCTGGAATGTAATTAGGAAGGGCCAATTCAGACGACCAACTTATAAAACTTTAAATAATCGTTCCAGCTCTACAAATGCATAACCTTTTGTCCTTCCACAACCATGTCCCTCCATACACATAAATTGTTTCTCATTAGTTATAACTTATAAGTCATTTACCCAAAGGCCATTATATCATATGGAAATCAAATACATCTCTGCTCTATACCTTAAGTATGGTATACAGCTGCATCAACATTTTATTAATCGTATGCAATATCTTGCAGCTACCCAAAATGTAAAGAAGCAAATATTCAAATCCCATTGGAAAATGAACACTTAACACTTTTGAATTACAAGTATTGAATAGTTATCATTGGTAACTATTAGCAAATTTCAGTTCGTAAACTACTAATTTCTAGGTTATAAAATTAGTCCTCTCTGCAACATATAAGGTAACCAGGTGTTTTTGTTTTTTATAACTAAGGTGCCCAGTTATATGTTTGCAGCAGCATTGACACCTCTGCTGTACACCAGAAGGGGCACGAAGGGGGACAAGGGCCAGACGGCCGTGCGGGCGCACGAAGGGTCCCAACTGGGTGGCATAACAGATACGGCGCACGCGTGCTCCAAGGAAGGACTATTTAGCGAGAGTTGAGTTAGAGGAGAGGAAAAAGAAAAATATTCTTGAGAACTCAATTGTAACTTGACCTCTGAAGTAAATTCGCCTGAACCTATCCTCCTGCTGTCTACCTTCCCCAATTCCTATCCCAACATTATAAAAATGTTTCCGCTCAAGTGAATTTTTGCTGAAATATAAGTATGTTTCTAAAGTGATGACCCTAACTGAAAACTAACCAGTTGTAGCTATCTGCAGGTGCTAGCTAGAAACATTGTTGGAGACTGCAGAGTAGCTCACTTTGATGTTTAACAACCGCCATAACAGGGCAAAGAAATATGAAATTCACATCAATCCAGCAAATTCAACATATCCTGTACAGATCAAGTTAACATTATCGACAGAGTAATCGCGCGACGGTCCAGCGCTGATGGAGCGCGCTCGCGACGCCGCAGTGACGCGCCCTTCCTCCACCACCCCCGCCTCCTCCACCGCCGCCCAGCCAGCAGCAACCGCGCCGCCGGCCGCGCCGCCCACCTCCCGCCCCTGCCGCTCCGCGCCGCCTCCCCTAATCTCAGGGCGCCGGCGAGCTCCAACGCCCTCGTCCTTGGCCCGCCCCCGCCACCGGCCCCGCCCCCGGCAGCCGGCGGCCAGGGCAGAGCGCCGGCGAGCTCTGCCACGCCGGCCCCGCCCAACCGGTTGTCCCCTGCCGCCCGCTCGGCGGCACCTCCGCCGCCTCGCTCGCCGCCCTTCAACCCGCCCACCGCCGTGTCGCGGCCGCCTCCCCCCGAACCCCCTTCTAAGGTCGCCGGAGATGAAATCCTAACCTCGCCGTCGCCGGAACCCTAACCACCGCTGTCGTCTTCTTCCTCTCTGATGAGGTGCGGGCACGTGGGCGAGGTCGCGTTGGAGAGGGAGGAAGAGGGGGAGGGGCGCGAGGAAGAAGACGCACACGGCACATCGCACGCTCGCGTCGCGTGATAGAGTTTGCGTAACATTATCCCCATCATTAATTATCAACAGATATACCAGTTAAACAATGTCACTACTACTGAGTGAAAACAGACGATTCACATGCAAACACTAGTTACCTCAAATCTACAAACCTTCCTAAGCCGCATACTACCTCAAATCTACAAACCTTCATAAGCCGCATACTCACTAAAGACACCACTTCAACCGACGAATTGAGGCTAATTAAGGTTCAAAGATGTTAACCTGACCAAAATCGGCGACTTTGAGCTGTGTCTTCGGAGATGAGCAGGTTCTCAGGCTTCAGGTCGCGGTGCACGACACCGGCGCGGTGGCACGCGGTGACGCCCTCAAGCACCTGCAGCATCCACCGTTAGAGTTGCGAGGCGGGGATGCCTCCCGGTCCCTCGCCCCCGCCCGCGCGCCTCCTCGCGTCACGCACAACGGCGGCGAGGTCGAGCGGGAGCCACTCGAGGACGAGGACATCGTCGTCGCAGTCGCCGCCGGGGAAGTGGTCGATGAGTGCGACGACGTTGGGGGAAGGGGGAATGGCGAGGAGAGCCTCGGCCTCGCGGCGAGCGCTGACGGCGTCGTGGACCTCCTTGAGAGCGACAGCGGCACCGTCGGATCGGCGGCGCCCGCGGTAGACATCAGCGTAGGCGCCGGAGCCCGCGGGGCCGAGGACCTCGTAGCGGGATGTGACATCAGCGCGGCCGTGGATACTCCAGATCCCGCCGCCGCCGATCGCCATAGGTGTGGGATTTGGGAAAAGGATTTGCAAGTAGGTGTTGTAAGGCTTATGCGATTTCGACCAATGTTCTCGTCAGAACAGACCATGAAAGCAATTGACCAAATCAAATGGGCTTTGGTGGGATTGGTAGCCACCAGAGAAAGGCAACCGTTACAAACCTGCTGGGTTTTGCCTTTACTTACATGCACGTGCGGCACGCACGGCACGCACGTGTATTTAAAAGTATTATATATATAACTGATTTTTTTATAATTTTTTTGTCAAGTATGTGTATTTAAAACTAACATTTTCTTTTTTTGGATGAATAAAAAATTATATTTAATTTTTTGAATTATATATGAATTTGAATTATGACCGTGGATAACCTTTTCTAGGCACTCCATTCAAGATAACAAGAGAGGTGCCAGAACCAAAAATAGATTTCATCCGGTGTAACCATCTAGGTGGAAGACCTTTGTGCTCCATAATTTACTTCATGAATTCATGTTCACCTTGTCAAAACCCTTTTCAAAATCAATCTTTAAAATGATTAGTTCCTTTTTAGTCTAATGGCACATATGCAAAAACTCCAAGGCCCAAGCAATATAATCTTGAATAGTTCTATGCTTAATAAAACCATATTGATTTTTGTGAAGAAGTGAAGACAACACTGTCTGGAGTCTATTAGCCAATAACTTTGTGATGATCTTTACTGAGGTACTTAGTAAAGAAATAGGCCTGTAATTATAAATCCTCTAAGCATCATCTTTCTTGGGTATTAGAGTGATATGAGACCCTATGCTCTGCAGGACATAGATGGTCAGAATAGAAATCTTCACACAATCTATAAAAATATTCACAAATAATTGGACAGCAATGTTTTATGAAATCAATATTAAATCTATTAGATCCAGGAGCGTTATCAGAGGGGAGTGACTTGACCACTGCATCAATTTTAGCCCTTGAAAAAGGTTCCACAAGAATAGAAAGATCTGGGTGGTTTGTGACATGTAAGGCTAAATCAAAGTTGATTGGAAAATTACTTATGTCCAATCTCTCTTTGAAAGATAGTCAAATCAAGTTGGCATTATCATTGTGATTTACCACTGTGTTGCCTTCATCGTCTAACAATTGAGTTATCAAATTTCTTCTATATTTAGCTGTTGCTTGGCATGAAAAAACTTTGTACTAGCATCCTGAAGTGTGTTACCCATTTTATGGCACCCCATTATTTTCAATAAATCTTCTGTTGCTCAAGAAGAGCAATTAACTTTCCTAAGAAAACTACCTAAAATTTCACTCAATAAGGCTGAGGTCTATGAATTCCTCAAGAAGATTCAAAAAGGATAGGACGAGCTTGACATTCTTAATGTTTTCCTTAAGGTTAGAAAGGGATTGCTTCCACTGATTTAGAACTCTCCTTGGATTCTTGAATTTTGGTCGTGATATTCTTGTGAGTTACGGGAGCAGATACGCCGTGTCGCCGTCGACAGATTACAGGACGAACGACGTGGTAGGCTTCTGGGGGTTTCTTTTCTAGCTTCCCATTGCCTTTTGTCGACATCGTGCAGATAGATCATGCAATTGTGTGCAGCGGAGTAAAAGCGTCGGTGTCCAGCATCAGTCGTGGCGAGCTATCTTTTTTTTTTTTTTTTTTTTTTTTTTGAGCAAACTTGGCGAGCTAGCTATGACCTGTGCCATGGCCCATCAGCCCACTGATGTCACCACACGGCGCGGGCGGTTCAACCGTTCAACCACCTTCTTCACTGCAGGAAGCCAGGAACACGCGAGACGCGAGAGGCGAGAGGAGAGAGGCGAGACGCGAGCAGCACAGCAGACAGCACAACACAGCACAGCTAGTCAACCAGTCTCCAAGGTCGAGCTATGGAGATCGCAGCGGCCACTGTGGGCAGTGTCCTACCGAAGCTGCAGGCCTACCTGCTCCTCAAACATGACGGCGACCACCACGACGCGGAGCTCCATAGCCGGGAGCTCACGAGCATCCACGCCGCCCTCCGCGACGCTGCCGCCCGTGGCCACGCGTCGGCGGGGCAGCCCCACGATAACGAGCACGAGGGCAGGGACTGGGTAGACGCAGCAAGGGAGCTGGCGTACAACGTCGACGATGCCATCGACGCCCTCCTTGTCACGTCCACGCTGCAGCCGGCTCGCGGACAGGACGGCGCAGACGACCTGCCGCGTTCTCCCATTACCCTCGAAGGGCTTCTTCAGAGGGCCACCGACCTCTCCGGGTCTCGTCCCCGGATTGCAGGGGAAGTTCCTGTCCCTACAGCCACCGTTGTCCACTCGGACCTGGACGACGAGGTGGTACTCGTCGGCGCTGATGGCGCCAGGGACGGGCTCATCAGGAGGCTGCGCCTGCGCGGCGATGGCAACAGTGATGGCGGCGAAGTCGACGCTTGCGACCGGAAGGTGAAGGCAGTCGCCATCGTCGGGTCTGCGGGGTTGGGCAAGACGGCCCTCGCCAGATCGTCGTACGGCGTTCTCCAACCGCAGTTCGATTGCGCGGCGTTCGTCTCCGTCGGATTTCATCCCCACATCGAGTCGGTTCTCCAGAGTTTGCTCCGGCAGCTTGGCTTCACCGGCGATGTTGCTGCTACCGAAGAACCAAGGGATGAGAGGAAGCTCATCAATCAGCTCTTAGGATTCCTGCAGAACAAGAGGTACGTGCACGGGGCCACGGGCACCAAGCTGAAATTTCAGAGAAAACTTTGACATTTGAATACATGATGACTTCAGAAGTTGCCGGGTATTATTATTCCGGTAGTCTACTGTTTCAATTACTAGTTGAAAACAGAGCCACAGTCAATTTCAGAGTTCTTACTGCTAGTGTGTGTAGGTGCTTTTCACTTTATTTTACAAGGAAATAGTCATTTTCGCATAGCTCACGTTGTATTACTGCGGACTCACTACTTGTAATTGTAGGTACTTAATCGTTGTCGATGATTTATGGGATAGACTGTCATGGGACAAGATCCGATGTGCTCTAATCGACAACAACCATGGAAGTAGAATCATCGCAACTACCCACAACTTTGATGTAGCCGATCAAGTTGGAACTCCATATGAACTGAAGCCCCTTTCTGCTGAGGATTCCAGGGCACTGTTCTTCAGAACAGTATTTGGCCATGAAGACAAGCGCTGTCATGATGATGAATTTACCAAAGTAGCAGAAAAAATATCGAAGAAATGCAATGGTGTGCCATTAGCTATTGTTACCCTAGCCAAAATGTTGGCTAGCAAGATGGGGGACAAAAGAGAATGGCACAAGGTGCGTGGGTACATTGGTTCAGGACTTGAGAACACACCTGATGTGAAGAACATGAGGATGGTCACCTCTCTTGGCTACTACAATCTCCCTCCCCATCTGAGGGCTTGCTTATTGTACATGAGTGTATTTCCGGAGGACTATGAGATCAGGCGAGACCGATTGGTGTGGCGCTGGATAGCCGAAGGTTTTGTCCAGTTTGAAGACAAAAAAGTAGAGTCCTTATTTGAGCTTGGGGAGACTTATGTCGACGAGCTCGTCAATAGAAGCATGATTCAGTTGCTAGATGTGGATTATGCCGACGATGGTGGCCGAGATGAGTGCTGCTGCAGCGTGAGTTTTCCAGTGATGGATCTCATCAGTCACCTGTCAAGCCAAGAAACCTTCATCACTGTACTGGATGACGAGCAGCAGGCATGTCCATCGGGTCAGCAGATTCGCAGGGCATCCTTCCGAGGACAAAGCAAAACAGAGGATTCCTCTTCTCTGGCTAGCATCAGCATGCCTCAGCTCAGGTCTCTCTCTGTCTTCAGCCCCGGCAATGCCGAAAGTATCGATCTGAGCACGGCTGGATTTCTTCGTGTTTTGGATCTCGAAGGATGTGATCTTTCTGGGAGTCACCTTCTGCAGCATCATATTGGAAGTTTGATTCACATGAGGTACCTTGGACTGCGAGATACACGCATTGACTCTGTCCCTGAAAACATCGGCAAGCTGCGTTCTCTGCAGACACTAGACTTGGCAGACAACACTAAGGTGGACGAGCTACCGGCGAGCGTCGTTCAACTGAGAGAGCTCATGTGCCTGCGCGTCGACTACCGCACTAGGGTGCCAACCGGGATCGGGAGCCTGACGGCGCTGGAGGAGCTCTCTGACGTCTCGACGCGGGAGGCGCCGGACGTGGTGGAGGAGCTCGGCAGACTCACAAAGCTGAGGGTGCTCAGGATGACGCTTTGGAAGCCATCCAGGAGGCAGGAGGAGGCTCTGCTGCAGTCCCTGCGCGGCCTGCACAATATCCAGGTCCTAGACGTCTACGTCACCGGTGGCGATTGTTCCCAGAGTCTTGACATGGTGCGAGAGGCCTGGGCGCCGCCACGGAGCCTCCGCGAGTTCCACGCGCGAGCTATGAACAGGTACTCGAGCTCGCTGCGGCTGTTGCCGGTGTGGATCGACGCGCCGGCCACGCCGCGCCTCGCCGTTCTGATCGTCCAGCTCCAGGAGCTGCGGCAGCAGGACGTCGAAGCGCTTGGGAGGCTGCCGACGCTGCGGGTCCTCCGGGTGGACCCCTATGCCAATAAGGAGCCCCTCGTGGTCCCTGGCGGAGCGTTCCCGCGCCTCACGGAGTGCAGGTTCCGGGATTCGGACCTGGGGCCCGTGTTCCGGCGTGGTGCTGCGCCGCGGCTACGGAGGCTCGAGTTCTGCTTCCGGGTGAGGAACACCATCGATCTTGGGAACGATGGCTTCGACTTCGGGCTGGGAAACCTCGAGTCGCTCGAGGAAGCCGTCGTTTACGTCGGCTGCCAGGAGTCTACGGAGCCCGAGGCTGAAGCGGCGGAGGCGGCGTTGAGGGGCGCCGCAGATGCCCATCCCAACCGTGCCAACTTCGACGTGATCACGTTCGGCGAAGAGCTCATGTGTTTCGACGACGATAGTTGACGACCACAACTGTCAAAACCAAACATGCGGAAAATCGCAACATCCAAGTTTTCTCTGATTCAGTCCGAGCCAGGAATTGTAGATGAGTTTGAGGTCAGTTTCAAACATGTTTAACGTGTTTTGTGATGTAATGTAACTCCGCACAGGGCAAGAAGTCAAATAACTCGTGCAACAAATACCACTAAGATGACCGTGCTAATTAACACGAAGTCGTACATAAAAATTTCATGATTTTTTCGATCATGTCAAGAAAGATAGACACTGCATCTTTGAAAGGACGCCGGAGCGTTACTAAGTCCGAGCGACATCCTCCAATATGCATACGTCTTATAGGGATACATGAAAATCGTCTTGCATATACGTCCTATAGGGACACATGAAAGTTGTCTTGCTTTGGTTGGCGGGATGGATGGGTATTTGATGGTAACTCAAATATCCATCAAGAAAAAAAAAGAAAAGGGTGCTTAGCTAACCGTTCTAACATTTTATTAATAAATGGAAGTGGAAAGTGATCTTTCTTAGTTGTCTTATTGAGCTACTGGTAATCGATACACATTCTCTATCTCATGATGGTACATTTCATCAATAAATGGAAGCGAAAACCGATACACATTCTCCATCCTGTGATGATTCATTGTGGGATCAATTGATTTTTAGAGTTTTCAACAACGGTCATTCCTTCCTTCTTTGGTACCACTTAAACGGGGCTAACCCACTCACTAAAGGGAACAAGATAGACAATCCCAACGTGAAGGAGTTTCAAGACCTTTTTCTTCACCACTTTTCTTCACTACTTCCCTTGAGGTATTGGATTGAGTAGTCCAGAACAGAGCGGTGCTTCTTAAAAACGGTGATGAGTTTGGCAAGTTCCTCCTCTGATAGCTTGTTGATAACTATGACGGGAGTTTCTTTGTCACCGATTGGAAAAAGCATAGCAAAGGCCCGAAGGTAGAGGTTTAAGCTCGATAGAGAGTCATGATGGTGGTTCATTTGAGGGCAAATTGAAAACTTCTCTATCTCCATCCTCCTCTTTGATAAAGAGTGGAGCATCTTGCTCTAAGATGGACTAAAAGTTTCAAAGGAAGATGTATCACAAGCTCTATTAGGTCCTCCTCTTTGATAAAGAGATGCTAGTCCTCCTCTTTGATAAAGAGTGGAGCATCTCGCTCTAGGATGGACTCAGGAGTTTCAAAGAAAGATGTACTCATCACGAGCTGGACTCAGGAGTTTCAAAGAAAGATGTACTCATCACGAGCTCTCAAGTCACAGATCAGTGATTCTCTAGTCACCAAATTCCGCAATTGTGAGATCGGGACTTTTAACAGATTTCTTCTACAAGCACGTTGAGATTCCCATCAAGAAAAGACTTAGTAAGAAGCTTTTCTATGGTATGTCCTATCAAGATATCGAAGTCATGGACCTCGAAAACATGAAAATCAAGGATTGTCTCAACGCCATCAAGTCGGATTGTGGTTTTACAAAGAACACCCTTGCATTCTAAAAGAAGTCTGGTGGGACTCTTGAAGAAAACACTGGATGAAACAAGGTGTTCATTTAGAAACTGAGCAGCTAAGAATAAAGGTAACATGATGTTTAAGTCAAGAATGGGGTTGTAGAGGGCCTCTTGTTGGATGATTTGATAGCATATGAAATGGTTAAGGAAGGTGTATAAAGTTGAAACACCTTAGGAGAAAGCTCCATTTCCCTCAACCGTTCATTGCTAAGAATTGAAGTCAAAATCTTTCATAATTTCCTTAAGAAAGGATCCATCCATATGATTGGGTTCAAGTGAAAGTAACAAAGACCTATTTTGGTATGAGAAAATTTAGGTATTTCTGAACTCTTCAAGAAGGTTTTCTCGAATTCAAAAGGCAACTCTGAAGGTTGAATTTATTCAATATACGGAAGTTGATTTGGAAGCGATGGTTCAAGAGAGGTCTCAACAGAAGAATCTAAAGGTTCTGGCTCATCTGTTGCGGTTTCCTCTATTCTTACGGTAGCCTTGAGGTGTTTTCTAAGATCATTGGCATAGGGACAGTTTTTATGTTTTTAAGGATACAATTTAGGAATTTTCTTCCAACATGTTTGTAATAGAACCACCCAATTTATAAGAGCTCAACTATGAAGGCCATCGCTAAGGACGTTGGCACGCTCACACTTTAACCCATATAAATTTGGTAGTCCGTTGAGTGTCATGAAGGACCTCGATAATCCACTTTACAACCAAGATCATACTCAATTAAGCAAATACATATGCATAGAGTTTGCAGCGAAAATAATATTACAAATTGAGTTCACAATAAATAATACAATGCCAAGTTTTGAAATCAATAAGTTAAATCGACATAGTTTTAAAATGACTACAAAACCATAAGTTTGTAATATACTGCTAGCCTAATGATAATCCACCAAGCAAAAGCACAGATGAGATATATAGAGATCAGTCGAGTTGGGATTACAACCAGCTGGGTAAATCCTCTAATTGATTATATCCAGCTAGGTAAAATCCACATCGCACGTCCGAGCGATCCTGGTCAATGGTTCACATGGGTCACCGTTCACTATATTCGACGGTGAGTTTGACAAGAGCCACAAGACCTGTGAGACTGCCACCCCATGACGCCCAAGTCCAACTTGGCAAGCATGGATGTCCCCACCTCTTCACACCAAACTCCCCACCCCATGATACCGGCTCAATTCAAAAATGATCCCAACCTAAACAAGGTACTTGACTTCAAAGTCGGAACAAGTTATCTATCTATTATGTGAGGGTACGTTCAATCTCAACCAAGGCCCGAACAACAATATGGTCCTTAATAGACACAGGCAGGATCAAAATAAACAAGCCCAAGTCTCTAAAACAACAGTAACCACAACAACTCCTGACCCCCACAGTCTCAAGTTATCAACCTCCACATGATCAGTTATAGGTAACTAGAGTAAGATAAGTTGCCACCCTATTTGCAGGTGACAAGAATCACAGTCTAGGCATGGCTAAGCATAAGCACGACTACACATACTAGTAAGGGTGTAGGTATAAAGTGGACAAGATTAGATATGCAACAATAGTTTCATCCAATTCCTACCAACTAAATGCACAATACTTGTAACATATATGACTCAAGTTGTAGTTTAAATAAATGAGACTTGCCTCGGGTTAAAGCACACAATCATTTTAATTAGCTTGCACCATGTCGGTGGGCATCTGTAGTCTTGGGGTACTCCAGTTAGTTCTTCCACCTTTAGGGTCTGTCCACCAATACTCTATTTTTTGGTTCAACTCCGTTGTCATCTTCAGAATAGCTAAGTTCCAGATTTACGAGGCATATTCTTATTGGGATGAACCTGTCTCTAGTTGACTCTGAACCGAACACCATGACGAAGTGGAATATCCTACCTTGCCCCATCCTATCCTTGAAACCAAACACTACTTCAATGTCTTTCTCAGTAATCCCTTCTATGTCACGCCACGTGGCCAAGGGCTCCCAACCGGACCGAGGCACAATGGCCCGACCACCCTTGCTACCAGGGTCCGGAGCTAGCACCACCACCGCGCCAAGCTAGGGTTAGGAAGCAGACCCATGAGCCATGGTCTAGACCACATAAATCCAGAGTCCGGAGCCCCTGATCTTCTCCTTTTCAACTCAAACACTTCACCATTGCTTCCATGTGCTAACACCAAAGTGTTCCACCACTTGTGCACGTGTGTTAACCTATTTTCAAAGCATTTTCAAGGGTTTTAAGTTAGCACACTAGGTCCTAATGCATATGCATGAACAATATCACGTAGCTAGTGGCACTTGATAGCCGTTTTTACCATGAATTTCCTCTCGTCATAGTACGGCTATTTATCCAAAACCCAATCACACCATACCTCTATGTCAAAGTTAGCATGGATGGTGCGCCATACCTCAGGAAGGTGGACCTTAAGATGTACAAAAACTACAAGGATCTCTCGTTGGCACTGGAGAAGATGTTCAGCTACTTTACTGTTGGTGAGTTTTGTGTTGGCTCTGATCCTTTGTTAGTTCAGTGATTTTGGTCTGCTTATGTGCATAACATTTCTTGGTTAGCTGATTTTTTCTTAAACATATGCATTCTTTATAGTAGATGTAGATCTGTCTTCATGTAGGTTAGAAATTTCTGCATGATGCTTATTATATAATATGATGTTGTCATATTTGGTGTTTTACACTCTAGTTCTGCAGTATGGCTATTCCTTAAATTCATTTTGAACAAGTACCTATGTTTTTGTTGAATGCTAATTGATGTCTCTATTTTCTGGATTCTTCTTATCCCCTATCATGATATCTCTTGCATGATGTGTCACCGATTAACTATTAGAGTATTAGTACTTTCTATTACCCACTATGGCTGTCTGCTTTGGATCTTTTCCTTTCATTAAAAAAATGATGGTGCTTCATGCGTTTTGTGCTGAACTGCAGTTTGTTAGAAATGTCCTTGATGTTGCATTTGAGACGTGCATAGATAAGTGCAATAACAATATTGTTTGTTTATTTGTCCTTTTTAGTTAGAAGACTGACTTGATGTGGTTTCCTATGGTGGAACGGTAATTGAAATGTTATCTGTTCCTACAGGCCATAATGGATCTAATGGGAAAATGGGAAGAGAAGGACTATCTGATTGCCGACTAATGGATCATAAAAATGGCTCTGATCTTGTTCTCACGTACAAGGACAAAGATGGAGATTGGATGCTTGTTGGTGATGTTCCATGGAGGTGCGTTATTTTCAATGACCCAAAATTTATCAGTGTATTTACTAGAAGCACTAACAAAGTGCATGGTGCTATGTTGTATTTTTAAATAGAAAATCTGTGAGGTTTTAGTGAAACCTTTTAACCTCATCTGCATGTCATTTTCTCTTAAATGTTGTGATGGATTCATTTTCTTATGGTGTGTTGGAAAATTTAGTGTGTTCTGTTTCCTGTGTTAATTGAATTGTTTTACACTCACTTTATCTTTGTACGTGGGTTATATTCAGTGGCGGATCTTGCATCCAAACCAAGAGGGGGCCATTTCATAGATGAGCAGCGAACAAGCAGCTAAGCTTATGACGGTCAGCAAGAGCAGAGTTGAATTGAGAGATGTATAAGCGTATAGCAGACTAGCAGATCAACTCGATTTTTACTAAGCACGTGGACTAGTGGCTGAGTCTTTTGAAATTTGCATGGAGCAAGCAGGGGCCATCGGCCAGGATGGGCCTATACATAGCTCCGCTGGTGGTTATATTGTTTGAAACAGAAATAGGAAAGGTTAAGGGGAGTTGTTGATAAAAACAAAATAAAAATGCTATGCGAAGCCAGAGTTTGAAATTAGCTTAAAACATGTCGGTGCGAATGGTGCCCTTTCATCATATGTCTGTAGTGTTGGTGGTTATCTTCACATGTTTTACTTTATTTCACTGGTTTTCATGGGCCTACGCAGCGTACCTGTTCCTGTTCCCACTAGCATTTTGCATGTTCCAATGAGTTCTGGACCTGAACTAGGAGTTGAGAAACTGTGTTGTGCTTTAAAAGCTGCCTGATTTGTAAAATGTTGCTGCATTGTAGAATGTTCACGGGCAGCTATAGGAGGCTCAGGATCATGAAGGGGTCAGATGCAGTGGGCCTTGGTAAGTACAAGTGATATGTGGTCGCATATGGATGTGTTGCTTGTGTTCATGACTTTTCCTGTGGAGGAATATCAGAGAATCTACTACTTTCAGACGCAGTTTTGCACTGCTGCACTATTTTTTTGTGTGTGTAAGATTACTAGGCCATCCAGTTTGTTTGAACTAGGTCTAGTCTATTCCATTTACTGTGGCCATGCACATCTGTTTAAGCTGCTTTCTTGTCATGATTAGCCTGAGAATCTGTTATCACTTTTTTTGTGCTTACTACAAGCTTATAATATAAGAATGTACTTTCAATTTTTTAGCTCCTAGAGTATCTGACAAGACCAAGAATGGTTAACTAGGAAGGATGAATGTGATCTACTCCCTGCAACCACATCATACTCTTACATGTAAGGCCCCATTCTTGAAACTACAAGGTTAATGGACTTAAGTTGTGAGAAGGGGATTACTTACATCCGTGTGTACCTCTATGATTTGGACTCATATGTTAGATTGCAAACATAAGTTGTGTGTGTAAGTCTGCTGTATGTCTGCCTATTTGACCATGGGTCATAATTTCTATTGTAAATGATTGTTTGCTGTATGTCATAATAATCTTACCTTCCTGTTCCAAGGCATGGGCTTCTGGGTTGCTTGCTTCAATTACTAGCTCTAAATCCAAAACCCTACCAAGTCAGCTGGTCCAGATATCTAGAGTCCTGAATTCCTTTTGGTGCCCAGCCCTTTCCAGTCTCTATGTAGCATGCACTGCAAGTCTGCATGGATGGTGCACACCCTATTGTCAATAGTGGCCCCCATTCGGTGTTTGTGGAAGTGGGGTCTTTCCCCATCTGTTATCCTTTTCCTGGTGCCATGATACTGTCTTTGGAAAGCGGGGGGAGGTTTCCCTGCAATCATTCATTCAACATCAAGGAGCAAGATGGTGGTGGTAGGAAAATAAAGTTCGGAGGCAGTTCTATACAAGGCCGCCGTGAATTGGGGCTTTTTTTGTTTCCTCTTGCATACACTAATAGTCCTACAATGATGCTTTTGACTTGGTTTATCAAATTCATCAGGGGTTACGTTTATGTTCTTTTATAGCAGTGTGGTTTGGTGGCTGGCATGTGGTTTTCTGTGAATTTTACATTGTGGTCTCCTTGGTGCATAGTCGCATTGTTAAAGTTGTGTTGCTTAAGATATGGATGGGTGTCCTTTCGTGCTGAAACACAGGGATGCTGATGCTCCCTGTCTTGCTTGTGCTGCCCCTATTCTATCTAGTCATGCCCCACTTGCATTGCATGCATGAAAACTACCATTTGATAATTTGTGACGGGGAGAAATAGAAACAAGAAAAGGAATGATATATATGTTCTGATTCCTCAGCAACTGAGCCGCAACATGGTGTGGTCTATTGCTATGGTATAGTATATATCTAATATCTTACATAGTTTTCAACTGCTACCAGTGTGGTATGGTGTGGCTGCTGGCCTGGTGGTTGGTTTGTTCTGATTCCTCCGCAACTCAGCACCAAATTTGGTTGCCCAACGGAGATGAGCTGAGTCCCGACCTACTCTATGAGCTGCTTCCTACTATCCAAGATAACATGTAAGAAGATGAGGACAACGATCTCCAATTACTGGTGGGGGGTTCAGCGGATAACTGGCATTTGCACTGGCTTCGCTAGGATTGCCTCACTCAGCAAAAATCAAAAGGAGGCATGGGCTTTCGGGATTTACATACTTTCAATAAAGCCATGTTAGGGAAACAGGGATGGCGCCTATCTACAAAGCCGGATAGTCTCTGTGCCTGAGTGTTGAAAGGACGCTATTTCCATGATTCAGAGTTTATGGAGAGTACAAGGAAGAAGCATGCTAGCCACACATGGTGAGCTATCATGGCTGGCAAAGAGGTCCTTAGGAAAGGCATGGTCAGAAGAATTGGTGATGGTAATTCTACAAATATTTGGATTGACAGATGGATTCCTATGCATTTTGATGCTAGACCACTCTCCCCGATGAATGATCAAGGGGTGCACATGGTGTCTAATCTGCTGACTGAGGCTGGTACATGGAATGAGGAGCTGATCCGAGAAATCTTTGTTCTTGTGGATGCACATGCTATACTAAGCATACCTGTATGACTGAATTAGGCGGACTACTGGGCGTGTGAAAGGATCAAGATGCCAAAGAAGGGGGTGAATTAAGCCAATTCTAAATTTTTGCAATAATTAGACCCTACACTTAGCCTATTTCACCCCTTGTGTCTAAAATGTGTTTATATTGTTCACCCGTACAAAAGTTTTGCATCCCAGGTTCTAATGCTACTCTAGCATGGTAATTCTAAAAATGTAAAGACATTAAATGAATTGCTCAAATGTAAATGCTCAAAGTAAAGAGAGGGAAAGGAACACGACGATGTTTTCCTGAGGTATCGGAGAGTCGCCACTCCCCACTAGTTCTCGTTGGAGCACCCACGCAAGGGTCTAGCTCCTCCTTGATCCGCGCAAGGATCAAGTGCTCTCTATAGGCTGATTCTTTGACACTCCATCGCGGTGAATCATCCACAACAGCTCACAAAGTGACTTGGGTCATCCACAAGCTCCGCCAGATGATCACCAAGCTTCCAATCACCACCAAGCCATCTAGGTGATGACGATCACAAAGAGTAACAAGCACAAACTCTCACTTGACCAAGACAAGCCTAATGGGTAAGGTGGATGCACACTTGCTACTCCCTATGCACTAATGAGGTCCTTATTATTAGATTATAAAATCTCAATCACCCCACTAGGCTCTTGCTCTCCCTTGCACTCCAAAGGTGATTCTTAGCTGAACAAATGGGCAAGAGACCTCAAATGGATGAGTTGGATATGTATTTATACCCCCCATTCAAAACATAACGGTTGAGGTCCAACTCAGCAAGTATCGGGATGACCGGACGCTCCAGTCAAGGTGACCAGATGCACCGGTCAGTGTAATACGTCAGCGTGTCAGAAAGGGTTGTTTGCTCTGACCGGACTCTGGCCTGCATCCGGTCAGCACCCACCGGGCGTGTTCGGTCATCAAAAATCCTCTCTAGAATCTTACTGATGTTGACCGGACACTGGCACCCAGAGTCTGGTCACTTCTCTGTTTAGCGTCTGGTCCGTGGTCAACAGCCTGTCCACGCTGCTACAGATATAGCTATCGCGTCCGATGAGTACTGGTGTCCAGCGTCCGGTCATACTCTAACTCCTGCTGCCGATCAAATGAACTGACCGGACTCTCCAAGCTGCATCCGGTCACAACCAAACCAATGCCCGGTCAGTCATTTGACTCTCCATTTACTTCCAATTTGAATTTCTTTGTGAATAAAGTTGACTTCTATCATTCTTAGGGCTATTCCTGAGCTACTAGTGCTAAGTTTGACAAGTGTGCAACACACCTAATCCATTAGACTCACCTAGGTTAAGCTACTAGTCTATACCCCCCTTAATAGTACGGCCAAAGGAAAAACAAAGTCCTAAACTATTCTAATTGTCTCTCCAACACCAAACGACACTTAGAACTAGTCCGTCCCTAACCTTGTCATCCATCCTTTGAAAACCAAAACGATTTCCATCGACAGGGGCATGACAACCATGATTGTCCAATCAATTTTCATTACCATGACCTAACTCAAATTGCCTCTACAAAACACACGTTAGTCATAGTAATCTCGTATCGTTATTAATCACCGAAACCCAACTAGGGGCCTAGATGCTTTTAATCTCCCCCTTTTTGGTGATTGATGACAACACAACCTCGAGTATGTAAAAGATATGAGTGAGGTTTTCAACATGCTTGGTTCACATAAGCTTTTGACAATAAGAACAAAGGAGTTAGGCATGCTTATATGACTCAAGCCAACATGGTGTACTCAAAAGATACGAATTAAGCATGAGTACATGAAGTAAAGATCATTTGAATCGGAGTAAAACATGGAAGCAAAGCCAATGAGCATAACCAAGTGACATGACATATATAAAACAATGTAGAGAGCGCACCTGTCACATAAGTCTAACCATCACATGTATAAAATACAATGCATGAAAGTAAATGTGAATGCATGAAGTATCACACACGAAAGACCAAAAGAATCTTGTCCATCTCACACACTCCCCCTAAATCTAACATACTCGGTCCCTCTCCCCCTTTGGCATCAAGCACCAAAACCTAAAGGTCGAACGGCGGGACAGGAGCAGTCAAGTCAGGCGCTGAGGTGCAGTGAGAGACCTGGAACTGAGCTGCATCATCCTCTGACCCTGAACTCTGAGGGGTCTGACCCTCTATTGCTAGAAGTGAAGGTGAAGCGATCTAGGTCTGGTCAGTAACTGGCACGGCCCGTGACTCTACAGGTGTCACTATAGGAAGGGGAGCCACATCTGTTGCTGTCACTGAAGCCTCAAGTGTAAGAGTGACTGTCTGAGGTGGCTCGGATGATGCAATAGACGATGGAATTGTCTCGGTAGTCCCGGTAACTGGAGCAGCTATGGTAGGACCAGAGACTCAGAACACTGGAGGTGTAGGCTGCCTTGTAAGCTCACTGAAGGTAGCGCCGAGACTCCTAGAGACTGGGGTGTTCGTCACTAATGCTGAAGAAGTTTGAGTCGGAGTGAAGCCCATAACAATAGGAGTAAAGTGCGGACCCTGAGTTGTCCCTAGTGAAGCAAACAACTGAGACACCTGCTCTATAGATGAGGCAAACTAAGGAGCTAACTGTCTCTAACTCAGAAGAACACTGGGCTGTATAGCTGGAGTCACTGGAGTGGTGGTGGCAGGCTGGTCTATCTGAAATGTAGACTGCTGAGGATCAACCCCGATAGAAGTGAATACATGCTGCATGAAGCCGAGTAACTGCTGCTGAATCATTAGCTGCTGCTGCATGGCCTGCTACTACCGCTGAAACTTATCCTATCATGCCTAAACCTGAGCAAGTGCAGCTATGATCTCCTATGCCTGGCATGCCTGGTCCTGCCTAATCCACTCAAGTATAGCTAGAAGTGTCGGGTCTGTCTACGGTGGCTGTGGTGGAGCTGAGCTAGAGCCACTATCCTCTCTGTCGAGTGGACGAGGTGCCATCTATGGAATCGACTGATAGTCATCGTCTGAGCTATCACTCGGGTCACTCTCGACCTCATCTTCTTGCTGTGCATCAAGCTGCTCCTCCTCTGTCTCTGCGATGCCCCTAATGAACTCATCCTACTAGGCTGCTGTCTCTGGTACCTCTAAGCAATAACTCGGCTAGCGAGGTGTCCTCGCATGACTGTGATGTAACATCTGACTCATGACATACTGTGGAAACTCAGTAGTAGCACCTGTCCACTCTGCCATTGTCTCT